ATATCATAAATGTCGCGAGTTATTTTGGCAAAAACAACATGTAACTATATTCAGGGTTATTTTGTCTAGAAGTGAGTTACTCGTGGTCGGACTATACACTCTAAAAAATGTTGGGTTGTTTTAACCCAACTTTTGGGTCAAATCCAAATTTTGTCTGGAAGTGAGTTACTCGTAGTCGGAATATACACTCTAAAAAATGTTGGGTTGTTTTAACCCAACTTTTGGTCAAATATGGTCAAACTCGAATTTTGTCTGGAAGTGAGTTACTCGTGGTCGGAATATACACTCTAAAAAATGTTGGGTTGTTTTAACCCAACTTTTGGTCAAATATGGTCAAACTCGAATTTTGTCTAGAAGTGAGTTACTCGTAGTTGGACTATACACTCTTAAAAATGTTGGGTCGTTTTAACCCAACTTTTGGGTCAAATCCAAATTTTGTCTGGAAGTGAGTTACTCGTAGTCGGAATATACACTCTAAAAAATGTTGGGTTGTTTTAACCCAACTTTTGGGTCAAACTCGAATTTTGTCTAGAAGTGAGTTACTCGTAGTCGGAATATACACTCTAAAAAATGTTGGGTTGTTTTAACCCAACTTTTGGTCAAATATGGTCAAACTCGAATTTTGTCTGGAAGTGAGTTACTCGTGGTCGGAATATACACTCTAAAAAATGTTGGGTTGTTTTAACCCAACTTTTGGTCAAATATGGTCAAACTCGAATTTTGTCTAGAAGTGAGTTACTCGTAGTTGGACTATACACTCTTAAAAATGTTGGGTCGTTTTAACCCAACTTTTGGGTCAAATCCAAATTTTGTCTGGAAGTGAGTTACTCGTAGTCGGAATATACACTCTAAAAAATTTGGGTTGTTTTAACCCAACTTTTGGTCAAATATGGTCAAACCCAATTTTTGTCTGGAAGTGAGTTACTCGTAGTGGGACTATACACTCTAAAAAATGTTGGGTCGTTTTAACCCAACTTTTGGTCAAATATGGACAAAACCAAACGTTAAAAAAATAATTTAAAAAAATGGTCAATATTTGACCCAAAGCATTTTGTGGAGTGTGCGGGGTCTACAGTTAGCCGAGATGACGGCTGTTGCATGCTGGGAGTTTATTTTGAGGTGAATGTTGAGGTTCTGGTGAATCTGGCTGTTGTTTTCCGACTGTCAGCTCAGTGTCCCTCCTCTCTCGTTTACGACTCACGGTTTGTTTTTCTGTGTGGAGAATGCGGCAGATGGTTCGGACACACACTGCTGCTTTAGACTGAAGTGATGAGCGTGTGTGTGTGTGTGTGTGTGTGTGTGTGTGTGTCCTCCTCAACGGCTCCTCTCTGAATTGCCGGCTTCTGTCGTGTTTTCTCTCTAAATGCGTCTCCCAGTCGACCCGTCTCACTCAATCTGCCGTCCCGTCTAAAGCGCATTACGCTAACTAGCGGTGGCTAGTCTCCCGCTGATCTTTCACCTTTAACGCTGGCATTGATCCGCTCTCGGTGAGAATAATGTCAGCCATCCGCTCTTATCTCACACACAGCCGATAGCGGCCGAAAGAGACGCGTTTGCAGAATTTCTCAGCCGATATTAAAAGAACGTCGATAAGTAAGCAGTTTAGGGGAGGCGTTGTCTGGTAGCGTCTTCACCCATAATGCATCAGGGCGTGAGTTCTGAATGTGTGTGAAGAGAATTAAATGCAAAATGCATGAAGGAAAGTAAAGGGTTAATTCACACAGGGACATTTTTACTTCCCGCTCTTTAGTTTCCGGAGACGTTTAGCAGAATGTTCTCGCTGCTCTTCCCCGCACTCAAACACGTACTGGAGTCGGCGTTACCATCGCTAACCAAAACCAGTAACACTGGACTTTCTTGAAATAAAATAAAATACAACAGTATTACATCATATATTACATCAATTATTACATTAAAAGTTTATATTGCAATGCACACGACACTAACACTGTCGCACACACACACACTCATTCGCACTCATGTACACAGTCAAACGCACACACACACTCACACAAAAATACAGTCGCACACACACAAACTCACACACACACACTCAATCACACTCACGTGTACACACACACACACACTCACACACTCGCACAAAAATACAGTTGCACACACACAAACACTCATTCGCACTCATGTGTACACACACACACACTCACACAAAAATACAGTCGCACACACACAAACTCACACACACACTCATTCGCTCTCACGTGTACACACACACACACACACACTCACACAAAAATACAGTCGCACACACACAAACTCACACACACACTCATTCGCACTCACGTGTACACACACACACACACACTGCAGGCGTCTTGCCTGTCTGGAAATGAAACTGAAAGAGCGATCTGTGAACGAGGTGTGTGAAGATGCCGATGTTCAACAGGTGTGTGTCTTCATCAGAGTCATGTGATCGCCGTTACTCCGCTTGAAGTCGTGAACATCTGCTTTCTGCTCATAATTGTGATTTGTGAGTGTTTTCTTCAAATGGTCCGCATGGGTGGTGTGTGTGTGTTCCTGCTGTTCGTCTGACGCAAACATTAAACACACATTAGATATAGATTTATATAGATCTCTCCCTCTTCAAATGTAAAACATATCAAAGCTTGAAATCCTCCCCCTGACACATTTTACTCTGTGTGTGTGTGTGTGTGAGAGAGTGTGTATATATACCTGCGTGTGTGTGAGAGAGCGTGTGGGAGAGTGTGTGTGTGTGTGTGTGTGTGTGTGTGTGTGTGTGTGTGTGTGTGTGTGTGGGAAAAATATATTTTGACACATTTGTACGAAGCCCATTTCTGCCACATAAGAATTATGTTTTTGTAAATCATAATTATGACATAATGACCAAAATTCTTAGTATGTCAATTATGACGCATTATTTCAACTTTTTATCATTTAAGTTTTTTAATCTCCTAACTATGACTTTTTAGTAGTTATGACGTAAAATGTGATAAATTCGATATCTCATTACATACAATTCTAAATTGTCCATTTCCATTACTGTAATAATTATTCAATTGTCTCATTTTATCATTTAAACTTTGTAATCTCACACACAACATGTTGTCATAATGAAGATTTGCCGAAGCGTGGATGTTGTTGTTTTAAGCACAAACTCACTTATATCATCTTATCTTCTTTTCCATCTCCTGTCAATGTATCTTGATTGGATGTTCGGGTGTACATGTCCTTTACACACACACACACACACACACACACACACACACTGAGGGATAGAGCTCAATAGAGTCTTCTGTAGAGTTTGGTCGAGCGCGAGACACTAATTGTGTTTCATACAGAAAGCGCGTGACAGGCCGATCTGGAGGAAGATGAAGATGTGTGTGTGGACTGAGATCAGAGTCACACACACACACACACACACACACACACACACACACACACACACTGTCGGGTCACGAGCGGAAATAAATTGCGGAAGTGGAAACTGAATTAGGGATGACGGAGAGGAATTGGACTGTCAGGACGAGTCTGATAATCAGAGAAGATGAAGAGCTGCTCGAACACTGATCACTGAGTGTGTGTGTGTGTGTGTCTGATATAATCCAGATGTATGGTGTGTCATGTGACCCAGCTGTTCCTCATGGGATTGAACAGGAAGTGTTTCCTCTTACTTTTTTATGATCAGCTAGTACTACGATTCTGACTTTGTCGTCTTTCACACACTCGTATCCTGTGATGTGTTTGTGAAGTGTGTGAGTTTGGACGCTTCATGTCTCCAGTTTGTAGAATCTGAAAGTGTGTCAAAGTGTGAAAGCATTGCTTGACACACATACACACACACACACACACACACGCCGAATCTGAACTAACTGAAAGTGTAGATCTGAATCAGCTGAACGCTGGATCTGCTGACGAGCGACACCTTTACCTGTGTGTGTGTGTGGTGTGTGTGTGTGTGTGTGTGTGTGTGTGTGTGTGTGTGTGTGTGTGTGTGTGTGTGTGTGTGTGTGTGTGTGTGTGTAAGAGTTCCTGCACCGTCTGTCCGCAGATCCGTCGGGAATGAAGCCGGATGGTTATTTATGTGCCGTTGAGCTCTTTAATTGCATGAGTAATGAGAGACACATTATAGTGTGTGTGTGTGTGTGTGTGTGTGTGTAAGAGAGAGAGATTGTGTAAGTATGTGTGAGTGAGAGCGTGTGTATGTGTGTGTGTGAGTGTGTGTGTGTGTGTGAGAGAGAGAGATTGTGTAAGTGTGTGTGAGTGAGAGCGTGTGTATGTGTGTGTGTGTGAGTGTGTGTGTGTGTGTGAGAGAGAGAGATTGTGTAAGTATGTGTGAGTGAGAGCGGTGTGTGTGTGTGTGTGTGTAAGAGAGAGAGATTGTGTAAGTATGTGTGAGTGAGAGCGTGTGTATGTGTGTGTGTGAGTGTGTGTGTGTGTGAGAGAGAGAGATTGTGTAAGTGTGTGTGAGTGAGAGCGTGTGTATGTGTGTGTGTGTGTGTGTGTGAGTGTGTGTGTGTGTGTGAGAGAGAGAGATTGTGTAAGTGTGTGTGAGTGAGAGCGTGTGTGTGTGAGTGTGTGTGTGCGTGTGTGGTGTGTGTGTGTGTGAGAGAGAGAGATTGTGTAAGTATGTGTGAGTGAGAGCGTGTGTATGTGTATGTGTGTGTGTGTCAGAGAGAGAGAGATTATGTGTGTGTGAGAGATTGTCTGTGTGTGTGTGTGAGCGCATCACTAATTAGTTGACTCCTCCCTCTTTGTGTGACAGGCATCAGAGTCGGATACAATCTCTTTTTTTAACCTAATAAATGTTGAAGTTGAGTTTTATTGTTTAATTTTGTGAAGTTAGTCTCTCTCTCTCTCTCTCTCTCTCTCTCTCTCTCTCTCTCTCTCTCTCTCTGTCTCCAGGTGGCCGCTGTCGGAGCCTTTGGTCTGTTTCCGTCACACACACTCTCTCTCAGGGTCACCTTCCAGCATGTGTGTGTGTGTGTGAGAGTGTGTGAGAGACTCACGACCCACGGCGTCCCTGTGGTGAAACTCTCCTTTATCACAGAGGGTTGAGTATGATCCTGTTGCTGAACCCGAACTCCTCGGCCGGATCCACAGACGGGGGTAAGTTGAGCCAGGATTAGCTCAATCAGGATCTTTCAGTAACTTTTATAAACTTGTCTTAGAGAAACACATTCTCGTCCGAGAAACTGGACGAATATGATCAAATATATCTTATCTCAGTTAATCAAAAATCACTATACTGTAAATTCACAATCAATTTGAGATATATGTGTAAAGAAATTAAAAACACACTGAATACCTCAATGATTTTACTTTTCATGATGAAAATCTGTTATTTTAGTATTATTTACATCTTATTGTATAATAAATTAGCTTTTATTTTTATATTTTCAGCTTTTGTTTTCTATTTGTAATTTTTATTATTAGTTTTAGATTTTTTACAAATATTTCTATTTAGCTTTATTGTATTTTTATTTCAGGTTCTTTTTAGTTAGTTCACATTAGTCCTGTTTTTTAAAGCTCCCGTATTATGCCCCTTTTCACAAGATGAAAAATAAGTCTCTGATGTCCCCAGAATATGTGTGTGAAGTTTCAGCTCAAAATACCCAAAAGATCATTTTTTTACAGCATGTTTAAATTATCATTTTTTGGTGCTCAGAAAAACGCGCTGCGAGAGTGAGTGCCCTTTAAATGCAAATGAGCTGCTGCTTCCGGCACAGTGGGCGGAGCTTCACGAGCTCGCGCTCAGTCTCTCAGGACAAGTTCATCAGAAACTCTCAGTAACGGTGTTCATTTCGAGTCGGACAATAATGCCTACAGAGTCCGAGTGCTGTATAGAGACGGAACAGGTATAGTTTAGTAGTTTAATTACGGTTATTATAACGTATTTGTCATCTGCTTGTATGTATTATTTATGAATAGCCTACAAGTCTGCTGTTTCAGAGCACGTCTGAATGATGATCAAACAGATGAGTTTAATCAAGTTTATACATCACACAAAAGATGAAGCGTCAGTTTTACTTCAGAAAATCACCGTAAGAGCTGAGTAAACACGGTAAGTTATGTTGAGGGAGTTGAGGGAGCGCTTCTGAGGGCGGACGAACGTTAGTTGAAAACTGTTCTACTGACGTCATTAAAGAGGGAAGTAGAGGGGATGTAGTCCAAACGGGCCGTTCGATGTAGGCTACTTCTGTTAAATAAAATATCTCGCTTGGCATTCAACTTTGAGCTTTATAATTTTACAGATATTATTTATATTCTAACAACAACTAAAGTTTGAAACATGGGATCACGAAGAACGGGAGCTTTAAGTTCTGCTCATTTGAATGAATCGATTCAGCCTCTGATTCAGTGATTCGTCAGCGTCACACACTCCGATCCGAGCGTCAGGTTTTATTCTGATGTTTTAAATCTCCTGAAATATTCCTCGATTCATGAGTCTGTCTTCTCTGAATATGTTCTCTCAATGAAATCCAGTCCAGCCAGGACACACACACACACACACACACACACACACACACACACACTCTAACCTGATCTCTAAACCTACCCATCAAACACACACACACACGCACACACACACACACACACACACACACACACACACACTCACACACTCTAACCCGACCCACCAACCAATCACACACACACCCGACCCCTACACCTATGCATCACACTCACTCACACACACACACACACACACACACACACACACACACACACACACACACACACACACACACAGCATCCTCTGGCCCACGGCTCCAGTGCAGACGCTGTAATAAATAGTGAGCTTTGTTTCTAATTGCATTCGCCGCTGGCTTTACTGAAGTCTCTGCTATAACTCACAGAGAGAGAGAGAGAGGAAGCTGTGTGTGTGTGTGTGTGATGGGTAGGTTTAGGGTTCGGGTTAGTGTGTGTGTGTGTGTGTAGAAAAGTGTTACAATTATGATTGTTTTGTTTCCTAAATTCCTGGATTGTTTGCGATAGAAAACTTCCAGAACTGCGACTAAACTTCGGCACTGAGTGTGTGTGTGATCGTCTGGTGTCGAGATGTTCAGTTCTTCTGGCTTGTGTATGTGTGTGTGTGTGTTTGTGTCACCGTGTCGTTTTGCGTGAGTGACAGCTGTCAATCATGTGTGAACGCAGCGCTCTTCATCTGCTCGAGCTGGAAATCTTCACATTTGCTTTGCGTTTAAATATGTGTGTGTGTGTGTTTTCCCCACAGGACACAGACAGTCTGCAGTTCCTCCACTGAATCCGCTTGTACTAATGAAGCGATTGAGATGTGCTCAAGGAATCAGAATATGATAATGAGTCAAAACTGCCGTCTGCATGTGTGTGTGAGATGAAGGTGGGTCACATGTTCACATTTTCATCACATGTGTCTTCATACACTGAACTGGATATTAAACTAGTTTTAAAGATGGACGTCATTAGCTTTGATTTTGAGGGATGAACTGGCGTTTTATTCATTGTTTTTTATACATCGAATTCCAGGAGATTCTTTCCAGTTTTATTTTTCCTCTTGGAAATATTATTTTAAAAAGCCCGTTTATCCCTATAAAGCGACTGTATCATATCTGATATGATCTCTAAATATTGAAGATGATGTGATAAACGTGTGGATCTCCTCCAGTCCTGCTGTCTCTGACTGAGTTTACACTCTTTATCAAGTCAAAGTCTTTCAGTTTAATTGTACAAACGTCCTTCAGCTCGAGTCTTTATGATCTGAATTTTTTTTTCAAGTGTTTTATCAAGTGAACATAAGAATAACTTTGATATTGATAGTAATATTTCAGCTGGACTGAAGCAGGTTGACTTGATTATCCATCATTATTTATTTATTTATTTATTTGTTTATTTCGAGCAATATGTAGTTACACATGACAAGGCAATACGCAGCATTTTGGTTAATCTGTACAAGCCTTTAAATTCATAATATTTACATCGACTTTAACAAAACCTAAATCTATTGCTCGAAACGGAGTGGATAGAAGTCAAACTTTTATCCATTATCCATCATAATTTATTATAAATATCATGAGTGTCAAATATGATCATCAGGCTTGTTTATCTCTCAATATTGCATTGCATTTTATGTACTATAGATCATAAACTAAGCATTTAAAATCATCTTACTAAGTTCTGTTATTGGCAGATATTGACATTTAAATGCATTTCATATAAATATACTGCTATACCGTTACAAAGATCTCATTGATTTACAAGCATCAGAATGTCATATTAATATCAGGATCAGAATATTTATGCTCACTTTGAGACTCTAAATCATTATGGCCTGATGGATCAAATAGGACACTCAACATGTATGCAAACTTTTATATTTTTTTTTCTAAATGTTCAATAAACTCTTCCAACTGTGACAGTGTGAGCAAACCAGGCCTTTTATTTCATATATCTGGCTTTACAGGGTTAATGACATCATCCTCCAGGAAGTGACATCATTTTGGAGGGAAATGTGTCCGTGAGTATTATGGGTTTTATGAGTTTTATGGTTTGTGTCTCTAAAACACGACAGTGAATATTCCCCGGTGAATGAATGATCAGATGAGATGTAAAATGTGTAAATGTGCAAATAGTCAATTTTCCTTTCATGTTGAGTTGAAATTACAACATAAGCATGAAACGAGCCGTCTCTCTTTGTGTTTTCTCTCTCGCCAGCCTGTCTGAGAGTCAGGAGGAATGTGAACACACCAGACGCGACGGCACGAGAGATACGGCTCTTCACGAGAACAGGTGAGAGAGAGAGAGACCAAGACAGAAAGAGAGGGAGGGAGGGAGAGAGAGAGAGACATAGAGAGAGACACCAAGACAGAGACAGAGAGAGAGAGAGAGGGTCTGTGTTTTGTCGGGGCCACCGACCGCAAAAGGCAATTCCAATTTGTTGTGTGTGTCTATGTCTGTGTGTGTGTGAGTTAATGAGGCGAGTGTGTGAGCTCTCACTCATTCTGCCAGCACCGGCCGATCGCTCTCTGATTACTATAATGAAACGGTCAGGGCGTTATTAACCAAACGCCACACACTCGCACAGGAAGAGGAATCACGGCCAGTGTTGTCGCCGCATCCTTTCAGCCATTCGTCTTTCTGTTGCTTCTTCTAGAGCGAGAGCGAGACGGAGACCTTTTGGAGAGATCCGTGCAGATAAAGCATGACCCTGGACAGTTATTATAGATGGAGGTGTGGAGAGCAGATGTTAGACTGCTGATCTAAGGTTATAACCTGCTTTCATATTTCTTGGGAAAATTATTTTAAAAAGCCTGTAAATCTGCTGTTTCATATTCAATTTCTAAGGCCTCTAAATGATGATGGTGATCTGATAAACCTGTCGCACTCAATCTTCAACACTCCTTGATTTAGATTTTTTATCAAGTCTTTCAGTTTAATTGTACAAACGTCCTTCAGCTCGAGTCTTTATGATCTGAAACCTGCTCTGAGTTTTATCAAGTGAACATGAGAATAACTTTGATATTGTTAGTAATATTTCAGCTGGACTGAAGCAGGTTTACTTGATTATCCAACGTTAAAACGTTGCTTTTGAATTTGAATGTTACTTTTGAATAGGAATGTTACTTTTGAATGGGAACGTTACTTTTGAATGGGAACGTTACTATTGAATGGGAACGTTACTTTTGAATGGGAACGTTACTTTTGAATGTGAACGTTACTTTTGAATGGGAACGTTACTTTTGAATAGGAACGTTACTTTTGAATGGGAACGTTACTTTTGAATGTGAATGGGAACGTTACTTTTGAATGTGAACGTTACTTTTGAATGGGAACGTTACTTTTGAATGGGAACGTTACTTTTGAATGGGAACGTTACTTTTGAATAGGAACGTTACTTTGAATGGGAACGTTACTTTTGAATACGTTACTTTTGAATGGGAACGTTACTTTTGAATGGGAACGTTACTTTTGAATGTGAATGGGAACGTTACTTTTGAATGTGAACGTTACTTTTGAATGGGAACGTTACTTTTGAATGGGAACGTTACTTTTGAATGGGAACGTTACTTTTGAATGGGAAAGTTACTTTTGAATGGGAACGTTACTTTTGAATGGGAACGTTACTTTTGAATGGGAACGTTACTTTGAATGGGAAAGTTACTTTTGAATGGGAACGTTACTTTTGAATGGGAACGTTACTTTTGAATACGTTACTTTTGAATGGGAACGTTACTTTTGAATGGGAACGTTACTTTTGAATGGGAACGTTACTTTTGAATGGGAACGTTACTTTTGAATGGGAACGTTACTTTTGAATGGGAACGTTACTTTTGAATGGGAACGTTACTTTTAAATGGGAACGTTACTTTTGAATGTGAACGTTAGTTTTGAATGGGAACGTTAGTTTTGAATGGGAAAGTTGATTTTGAACATTACTTTTGAATATGAATGTCAGTTTTGAATATGAACGTTAATTTTGAATACACTATTAAAAATGCTGTGTTGTTTTAACCCAACTTTGGGTCAAATATGGACAAACCCAAACGTTGGGTTAAAAATGTCATTTAAAAAATGTAACCCAATGGCTGGGTTTGTCCAAATTTGACCCAAAGTTGGGTTAAAACAACCCAACAATTTTTAGAGTGTATGAACGTTACTTTTGAATGGGAACGTTAGTTTTGAATGGGAACGTTCTCTATAATGATCTTTGTTTTATTTACAAGTTTAAAACATTTTAGTTAAGTAAATGACAACAGAATGGTCATTTTCGTGTAAATTAAGTTCCACAATCGATGTGTTGTCCACTTAATAGAGGAGTTTATCTGCAAAGCGAACAGGAATGAGTGTTCAGACTCTTCCGCGGTGAACGAGCGTCTGTAATGCAGTTGATAAGAAGTTCCTCTGAAGCACTCACAGGTGATAAAGAGTCAGAGATAGGTCAGTTCACCACTGCTAGTTAACACTAATGACTTCAGTATTGCTTTTGTGATTCACGGACCGCACACACACACACATGATGGACATCAGCAATCAAGCTGTCCGATCCGAACACAAGCACTTCAACATTATGTGTGTTATTTTAACGATATTAGCACATGGTCTAAAGTGCACTAGTGCTAGTTTCACGACGGGATATTCCCCATTCTCTTAATGAGTGATGTGTGTGTTTTGGGCGTAACGTGAAATAAACCAATCAGAGTCAGGTGGTGGTGATGGCGCAGTGGATAAGACACCAATGTGTCCCTGAGCAAGACACTTAACCCCTAGTTGCTCCAGAGTCGTGTGACCTCTGACATATATAGCAATTGTAAGTCGCTTTAGATAAAAGTGTCAGCTAAATGAATGAATGTAAATGAGTCTCGACTCCCATTCACTTTAAAAGCCAGTTGTGCTCGCGGCGGATTCGCTATTTACATTTACACAATAAGCAATAAGTGTTTAAGAAGCAGAGTATATGTGAGCTGCTTAAACAATCTGTGTTACTGTGATCTCCTATTTTCTCTGTAAAGCTGCTGTGAAACTCTATATTGTTATAAATGAAGGAGTCTTATGACACACCGGTATTAATATGGACTCCAACAATCAAGAAGATCCGAACACTAGTTCTTCAACATGTAGGTTTTTCCTGATCTTGGATTCAGACCCAACACGCTTCGATCTGTTCTTTGGAAAGATCACATGGATGGATTAAAGGATGGATGGATGGATGGATGGATAGATGGATGGATGGATTAAAGGATGGATGTATAGATTAAAGGATGGATGGATGGATAGATTAATGGATGGATGGATGGATAGATTAATGGATGGATTAAAGGATGGATGTATAGATTAAAGGATGGATGGATGGATAGATTAATGGATGGATGGATGGATAGATTAATGGATGGATTAATGGATGGATGTATAGATTAAAGGATGGATGGATGGATAGATTAATGGATGGATGGATGGATAGATTAATGGATGGATTAAAGGATGGATGGATAGATTAATGGATGGGTGGATGGATGGATTAATGGATGGATGGATGGATGGATGGATTAATGGATGGATGGATTAATGGATGGATGGATTAATGGATGGATGGATGGATTAATGGATGGATGGATTAATGGATGGATAGATTAATGATTGGATGGATGGATTAATGGATGGATGGATTAATGGATGGATTGATAGATTAATGGATGGATGGATAGATTAATGGATGGATGGATTAATGGATGGATGGATTGATGGAAGGATGGATTAAAGGATGGATGAATAGATTAATGGATGGATTAAAGAATGGATGGATTAATGGATGGATGGATTAATGGATGAATTAATGGATGGATGGATTAATGGATGGATGGATGGATTAATGATAGATGGATTAATGGATGGATTAATGGATGGATGGATTAATGGATGGATGGATGGATTAATGATGGATGGATTAATGGATGGATGGATTAATGGATGGATGGATAGATTCATGGATGGATGGATTAATGGATGGATGGATAGATTAATGGATGGATGGATTAATGGATGGATTAAAGGATGGATGGATTAATGGATGGATGGATTAATGGATGGATGGATAGATTAATGATTGGATGGATGGATTAATGGATGGATGGATTAATGGATGGATGGATAGATTAATGATTGGATGGATAGATTAATGGATGGATGGATTAATGGATGGATTAAAGGATGGATGGATTAATGGATGGATGGATAGATTAATGATTGGATGGATGGATTAATGGATGGATGGATTAATGGATGGATGGATAGATTAATGGATGGATGGATAGATTAATGGATGGATGGATTAATGGATGAATGGATTGATGGAAGGATGGATTAAAGGATGGATGAATAGATTAATGGATGGATTAAAGAATGGATGGATTAATGGATGGATGGATTAATGGATGAATTAATGGATGGATGGATTAATGGATGGATGGATGGATTAATGGATGGATGGATTAATGATGGATGGATTAATGGATGGATGGATTAATGGATGGATGAATGGATTGATGGATGGATGGATGGATATATTCATGGATGGATGGATTAATGGATGGATGGATGGATTAATGGATGGATGGATGGATTAAAGGATGGATGGATGGATTAATGGATGGATTGATGGATGGATAGATTAAAGGATGGATGGATTAATGGAGGGATGAATGGATTGATGGATGAATGGATTAAAGGATGGATGGATTAATGGATGGATGGATGGATGGATTAAAGGATGGGTGGATGGAATAATGTATAGACAGACAGACGGATAGATGGATGAATTAAAGGATGGATTAAAGGATGAATGGATGGGTTAATGGATGGATTGATGGATGGATGGATGTATATGACCATCTTTATAAATATATTTGTTTTGTTTACAACTTTAAAACCTTTTAGTAAAGTGAATATCAACAGAATGGTCATTTCCATGTGAATGAAGTGGCAGGATCGATGTGTTGTCCTTTAATAGAGGAGTTTATCTGCGAACAGGAGTGTGTGTTCAGACTCTTCATCAGAAGATCTTCATCATGTCGTCCGTCTCTGATCTCGGACGGTGTTTTGGTTTGTTCTCTGGAAAGACTTCAGTCCGATCTGATCAGCAGAAGTGTGTGTGGCCGGCGTCCAGAGAGTGTGTGTATCCAGTTCATGTGAGACAAACGTTCCCAGATGTGCTGTGTAGCCGGACGGGAGACTCCAGGAGCCGGGAACACACACCTCTGCTTCTGTTTCAGGAGCCAGATGTTCTGCATGACATC